CCATATGAGGCAAGACTGAGGGAACTGGGTCTCTTCAGCCTGGAGGAGAGGAGACTCCGAGGGGATCTGTTGGCGACATACAGGTATGTGAGGGGGTGTCACACGGAGGTGGGTCGAGACCTGTTCTCCCCTGCAGAGGAAGGCAGGACGTGCTCCAACGGAGCCAAGCTCAGGGAACCAAGGTTCAATTTGGATGCCAGGAAGCACTTCCTGACAGTCAGGACCCCGAGGGTGTGGAATGGGCTTCCATGGGAGGTGGTTGAGGCCCCATCGGTGCGGGTGTTCAAGGATGGGCTGGATATGCACATGGTGGGGATGTTCTGAGCGGAGCTGGGTGGAGCTGAGGGTCAGACTAGATGGCCCGGGAGACCCCTTCTGATTCACTCTGTTTCTATGTATCATGGGCCTTAGGCCCAGGCCTTGTTAAACTGTTTGATAACCCAGCCCTGTCAAGCCGGACTTAACCTGTGTCAGCAGGGAAAACAAAAATTAAATGCAGGTGCCCTTCCAGAATATTCCAGTCTTCCCACTGAAGTCAGTTTGAGAAACTCTGTCATAAAAGTTTCATGTTCAAATCCCACATTCAAAACCCAAACACATGCTAGATTTCCTTTGTTCATATGAAAATTTGTGCATTGGCAATTAAGATTTAACATATTAGGCTGTTCTCTCCATTTTCATGTTAATGCATTTGGTTCAAAGGTCCAACTTTAATTCACATACAGAAATAACAGCATCATTTTAATGGAGATTTATCCACTTTTCCCGGAGGGGACCGGATTTGAAATCTTATTTACAGTAGCTAATTTTCCAGATCTCCTGAAATAAACTGATATATGGCCAGCAAACTAGAGACCTCAGCATTTCATCAAAGCACGTTAATTAAACCCTATTATCACATGCTAATCAGGAATTATGCATTTGCTATTGAAAAATTGCCGATCAAAACCTAAACTTTAAATCATGAAGCAAACTGGGCTGTACTGAATGGACGAAAACGCCAAACCGTATGGATAAAACATTCATATCTCCCTCATGTCAAGCAACCAAAGTCAGCCTTGGGACCATTCCTGAACAGCTGCATGCGGAGGACACGAGGCAAGACTCCTCGCTGAGCGAAGACCACTCCGAGTCAAGGTTGCAAAGGCTACCTGGCGCCCCTTTCTGCTTCATGACCCCAACCACCAAAAAGATCTCCCCTTCCCCCGGAAACCCTGCCTACTGAAATTGGATGAAATCATTTTCACTCCTTCTGTCCCCTTGTCTTGCAATAGCTCAAGCTATTGCCTAACTAACATGCAAACATGTAAACACAGAGAAATCTAAAAGCAGTGTTAAACAAGCAACCAGAAAAAAATGTAAGTCCTGATTTAAAACTGCCAAATGCCTGAGAGAAGATCTTAATCTGGCAGTAAAAGAGACTGGTGGTGGTGCCAGGTGGGCCTCACTTGAGAGACTGATCCGAAATTGGGGAGCCACCACTGGGAAGGCCCTGCTCTTCACTGCTGCGCCCAGGCCTTTCCTGGAGCAGCCAACCGGAGGAGGGCCTTAGGTGATGAAAGGCTGCCAACGGGAGAGGCGGCCCTTGCAGGTGTCACGGTCCTGAGCCAAGTAGGGCGCTGTGGGTCCAAACTGGGACCTTGCACTGGGCTTGCAAACGCACAGGTGCACAGCATCAGTGGGCAAGCAGTGGTGCTCCATGCTCCTCTTATCGCTCCGGCTGCCGTGCTCTGCGTACACCGCAGCTTCTGAGCACTCTGCAAAGGCAGCTCTGCACCGCGGGCACCACAGCAACCTGGCCTGTGGGTTCCCAGAGCCCTGACAACCGAGCTGGGTTGGAGAGAAGCATCGCCTGCCCTCACTGACTGAAGCTGGACGAAGGCACTGTGTGCCACGGAGCCGGGGAACCCATGCACACGATCAGGGGGCACACAGCCCCACCTGGGACGAGCGCAGCACACATCACCTGGTCGGAAGCGTTGCCTGCCGGCAGAGCCACAGTCTTGTCTGCACTGCGCTCCCGTCCGTCAACCCCCGTCCGGCCTGCTGTGCCAGCCAGGTACCAGGTGAGCACACACGGAGCTTCACCTGGTGAAGAGGGGAAGGAGGAACAGAGCTGTTCCCCAGGAGATGAGCTCACTCCCTGGCCATGCCCTTCTGGAGTCAACTGGAGCGGCCCTCAAGGCACCTCCTTGGAAGGATGCCATGGCTGATGGTGTCAGGCGCCACACAGAAGTCTGGGAGACTCCGTAAGGTCACACTCCCCCGTCTCTCTCCTCACACAGATCGTCATGTTTCAGGGCCAGAACCCGGCCTGAACACTGCCCGGGACAGATCAAGACAGCCTGTTGTTTTTAAGAACATCTGGCCACCATCCACGGGACGACACTGGGTGTCCTAACTCAGAGCGCCTTGCCTAGAAATTGTGCCTGGCACAATCCATGCCACCTGCCCGGCCCCTGGGCCAAGCATGCTCTGCTCTCCCATGTCTCTGACGGTCTTTTCCAAACATTCCAAGACCTTCTTAATTGTCTTGTGCGGCTTACCAACATTTTAATTGGCTGCGCGGTTCTATTTGTTGGTTTTATAGGGTCCCTTTTATGGCTGTCATTTTAATTCTTACTGATTCAGTCCTACTGCTGAAAGGAAAGGAAATGTATTAGCAGTGGTCTCAAAAGAGGGACACCAGACCTCTTCTCTGGAGCTTATCTGGGGAAACAAACTGCTGAGGATCCGAAATGGCCCCTTCCCCAGAGGCCAGCTATGAATGTGGTGGGGGGGAGGACGGGGGAGATAAACACGGCCTCTCCTCAGGGCTTCGCACCCAGAGTGCGCCAGAGGGAACTGACTTGAGGCGCACAGAAGAACAGCAAGGCAAGAGTTGTCATAGGTCGATATATTCTGCTGGTGCAACCCAGAGCCAAATGCGACAGGATCCCAGCCGTGTTGCTCGCGGTCCAAGAAGCACGTCCAGTTTCGATCAGGACTGCCGTGTGGGGTGGGGGGCGCGGCTGAGCCACACCGCTCAACGCAGGGCCGTGCCCGGGAGTTGCCGCTGGAGGAACGCATGCGCTGCGCTGCTGACCCGCACGGAGGCTGGCCTGCAAGGGTTGTCCAAAGGACGGAATAGGCAAGTCTCGTGTCCCACAGAATTCCAAGGCCAAGTGTGACTGGACCAAGAAGGCTGGTGCTCATCTGGGGGTCGCTGGCATCCGCTTCCGCCTGCTTGAGGAGGGGGCAGCATGGCCCCTGGTGTTCTGCTAGCCTACGTGGAGGCCTTGCGAAGACTCCCACCACTAGCCCGTCTAGCTTTTAAATCCAGTGATTTATCTCGGTTCTTCTGCTCTGGTATTTCACAGCTGACAGAAGCAGAGTGTGGAACTTTATTTCAAATTCTTATTTTTAGCTTTTGAAGGAGTCAGCCTTTTTCGGGGGCCATTCTGGAGTCAGAGATGTCAATAATGCTTATTGCATGGAGAGTAACAGGAGGCAGGGGGTTCAATCCATCATGGAAGACACGTCCTACTGGGCAAGTCAAAGATCCGTCTTCTATGCCTGGTTTCTCCCGGAACCTCTGCAGCATTTCTGTTCTTGCAGTTTAACATTCAGACACGTAAAACTAGCTTTCTAAATGGAATGGAAAGCCACCGGCCTGGGAATCCTGAGAAGGCTTTCGTAATTGGCCTGCTACCTAAGGCTAGGCAAGGCTCAGCGCACGGCCTATGCAGAAAGCCCCGATGACACTGGAAAACAGAGGTGCCCACCAAGAAAGCATGGAGGCTCCAGGGACTCGCCTGGAACCGCAGCACCGAGATCCAGGCATCAGTCAGCCATCCTCACCGCATAACTTCTCCTTCGGTCGGGAGGGGGCCCACCCCCGAAGCGCCTGCTCCTGCCTCGTCTTGGAAGCTAAGCAGGGGTGGCCCTGGCTGAAATCTGGATGGGGGACTAATGCTATCAACTGCCCAGAGAGCTTCGGCTACAGGAGGAATGAAAATGTAATGCAACGAGATGATGAGGATGGTTTATTAGTGAGGGCTTTCTGCATCTCCTCAGCATAACCGGCGAATTGGAAAAGCAGAGTTTTGTTACTCAGGTGACTGCTTAACTTATTTCATTTCCAAAAAATGTTGCATCACGAGGAGAGCGGCAGCAAGCTGGGCTACACATCAGATTTATGCATCCACAAAAAGGATCCGGGGAACCGATACCGGGAAGACGTGGGGGAGGCGCCAGGTCCTTCTGTGCGGCGGTCGCAGGCCGCTCGTGAAAGGAAGCATCTGCCCGGCGAAGGAGGGAGCCAGGAGGCACTCTGCTTTGCTGGTCTTCGGGGCAGACGCGAGTTTGCGGGTTGGGCTGCAAGGGGCAGGCTGATTTCCATTTCCAAGAGTGCTCAGGGAGTGAAGTACAGCCCTGCAGCCTGCCTGCTGACGGAATGCCATTGTCGGCAATGCAGGATCGATAGGGGCGTCAGCGCCCTTCTGGTTCCTGCGGACGTGATCACGGGGCCCGGCAAAGGGTGCTGTGCCTCGCCAGGGGATGTCTGCGGCCCACCTGAACCCACACACTCCGTGCCTGGAACCTGCTGCCGTGGGCCGCCAAGGAGTCTCCAGCTGATGGCAGCCCGGCGAAGTGAAGCCCCCCAAAACGTTCTACCCATGACGGCTCCTCCAAATCTAAGTCTGCGGCCTCCGTAATGGAAGTCACGTGTGCCTACGGGGATGATCTTCATGAAAACCCGCTCGCGTTAAGAGCTCTGTGCATGGGGAAAACGGGCAGGTCAGGGGTCAGCAGGGAAGAGAGCTGCTTCTCCGTGTGTCGCGACCGCCCCCCACACCCTCAAGGGAGCGCTGGTGCAGGCAGCCCCCCTTCGCGAAGGACGCGAAGGCGAAGGCTGCAACCCTGCTTGGCGCTCCCGCCACGGATCCCCCCAAGCTCTTCAGCCCAGGCTTGGCAGAGCTCTGAATCTTTCAGAGGGAACGAAACAAACCTTTTAGAGCAGTCGATAACCCGGGGTGGGAACGCAGAGAACATCTGAGAATCTCAGCAACACGGGAAAACACTGGAAATGTATGGACGTTAATCTTCTTAATTAGACTGCTTTGTCATTAGACTGGCTGATTGTTAATGGAGCTAGTGTGACGGTGCGGCTCAGAGGATGAGTAGCAGAAAGGACTGCACGGGTTTAAATCTTTCTTTTGTTAGGAGTTCATAGGGTCTCTTTCTCTCTGCCTCGGTTTCTCTTTCTGTGAAACGGGTATACTGCCCCTGGCCAACCTTACAGGACTGTTGTGAGAATTCCAGACATAACAAAGGTGATGTGATTTGGAACATTGCAGTATTATTCTGACTGCTTCTACTAGGCTGCTATCAGCAAAGGGCTGGGAGAGCTGTCAGCAGTGGGCTGCGACACCCAAGGAAGCTGAATGGCTGTATGATACCAAGAGGAGGGGATTCTCCACACAATTCCTGAGCATTCACCAAGTCATCCCTGATCAGATATCACAGGCTTTAGATGCCATGGGCTTTGCAACGGGATGTGATTTCTGTGCGGAGGTCTCATCAGCAGCGATCAGTCACGGGGAGTTCCTGGATCCTCCCGAGTCCCAGGAGCGAGGAAGCAGTGACTGGCAAGGAACGTGGTTTGCTCGCCTGCTCCGAAGCTCCACGGATGAAACTTGACCGGCTCCTGGCAGAAGTGGAAGGACAGCCCCTAGCACAGTGGGTGCAAAGAACCACGCTGCCGGTTTTGCAGGAAATGTTCCGAGGACGTTGCCAGTGCCAACTCTAACGGATCCCCATCCAGTGTTTGGGCCTCTCAAAGGACTAAGCAGAGTTAATCAGGAATGGAAAAGCCAGGCATGCGCCTGTCTCCATGCGCGTCACCGCTGTGCTTCCGTGCCTTGCTCAAACACGGCACGTGGAACCAGCAGGCCCTCTTCCATGAGGGAGGCAGGAGCCCCACTTTGCAGGATCCGTGGAAGGTGGCAGGCAATTCGGAAGGGGCTGCCCAGGAAGTCTGCAGGCACGGAAAGGCAAAGGATATCGGTTCCCCCGAAGTGCAGCAGAGCGGAGCAAGAAGGCAGACGATGCCCCGGGAAGGCGAGCCTCGTCCTCTACATGCAACCGCAGCTCCTGCAGCGAAGGCTGTGGAGAAGGCAGAGGACGGTGTGGTGGGATCCAGCACCAAGTGATCCGGCGCAGGGAACTCGGCAGGAGTGGCGGTGGAGCGTGGGCACAGCCCGGCGGTGGCTCAAAGGCCTGGCACAGGACGGGCCCCGTCCATCAACCCCGTCCCCCGGCACACACATGCTTCGAAGACTTCTAAGTCAGTTATTTTAAAAGCCTAAGATGTGCATGCTGAGACGGAGGGTGCGGGGGGGATCCTGCCACTCTGGCATTTCCCAGCCTGCGAACCGTAGGCCTTTTTCGGTCTGGACTTGCACAGGTCTGCCCCTCGAGCCAGAAGACCGGCTTCCCCTCCTGCCGCCTCCCTCTCAGGGCACGAGACCGTCTGGGACTGGAAGCCAGGCCTGCTCCCACCCGAACGAGTCTCAGGCCTCAGGGCCAGGAGGTGCTGACCGACTGCCATCACGGGTTCTTGAAAGGTACCCGAAAGAGCACCTCTTTTCTGCTGCCGCTGGAAAACCCTCCGCTGCCCCGCAGCCACGGGCCCGCGCCCCTTTTAAAGCCGCCCCCGTGCCCTCTGCTGCACCCCCCAGCCCCTTGTTTTGGACGGGAGGGTAAATAAATCAAATGGCGCTAAGCAGGCTTGCCAGAGTTGCGATCAGCTCCTTCGCCGCGTCTGCACCTCATCAATCACGCCATTGTCTGCCTGAGAGCAGCGGCTTGTAAATGTCATATCCACTCAGGCCCAAGGAGAAGCGAATCCGAACACAGCAAAGGAGTTTTAATTGGATAGTGTAATTAAACTGGGGCGGGGGGGGGAGGGAGAAGAAGAGAGGAAGACCCAGCAGGCTGGCTTTTGACAGGACAGATGAGGCCCCTTTTTAATAGGGCTACAAAACACATCCGTTAGAGAGGAGGAAGCAGCAAACCGTCTTCCTCACTGTGCTGATCTGCGGCTTCGCACGCCGGTGGGGCTGGAACAGGGAGCTCGGAGGGCGAGGGAGGCGGAATTCCGGGCCACCTAATCTGCCCTTCCCATGTGAATACATGAAGTATCTTTGGGGCTATTTTGTGCTTCTCTGGTGTATATAATGCATTCCCCAGTGCAGAGAATGCGTGTTTAAGGGAAGGAGCGTACAAGAAGGCAGAGAGCAGGGGAAGGTGCTTGCGAAAAAAATGGGAGGGGGAAGACACCTATGGGAGAGAACTGCGTACAGATTTTCACATGGACCTCGCCAGAAACAAAACGGATTTGCCAACTGATGTGGAAATGAACAGAGGTAGATTGTGTTTGGGGAAAAAAAGTGCAAACATTCCATCAATTGAAAATAAATGGTCAGTTGATGCCTGGAATCCAATAAACAGCCTGGAGACTGGAAAGCGGCATCCAGTGCATTTGGTTTGGCAAGCGTATCTCACAGGGGCTTGCCTCTGAACGAACGACTCACGGGGTGAGAATGGCAGTGGCTGAAAGAAGGAGCATGTTCTGGGGTTGGGGATCGAAAATGGAAGTCCCTGCTGTAAGCTGAACAGTTGCGTGCATGTGTGCTTTTAAATATGTGTTTGTTTTAGGGTTGCTCTTTGCTCAGGTTTCCTTTTAGAGTTTGTTTTATACGATTGCTGGAGTGCCATTTCCTGGAGAGAAAGGCAAATGGGAATAAAAGGGCAGGACTAAGACAGCAAATGAGCTGGCTGTTGTTTGGGAGGTTATGTAAATAACCCTTCACCTTATTCCTGGTCTGAGCAGAAATTTGAAGTCTCCCTTCTTTGGAGATCATAATTCGGGAAGACCATCGCAGTGAAATGTTTCTGGATTCTGGTGCAATGGGACAGCAGTAACAACCTCCGTGGAAGGAAAAAACCAACATGCGCCCAGAAGCCCAGCTAGCAATCAGACATGACTATGGTTCACCCTTAAATCTAAGGGGCTATGCAGAGCAGCAAAACCTCTAATACTGATTTGTGGTCAACCTGGCAAAGATCACTGCACCTTACACATGTTCCCTCACCTCACCTGTTCTCTTCATGCCACATGAGATGCATATTAAAACAAATGCCAACAGAAGAGGCAAACTGTGCCGTCGCATCCTCTCCACCACCATCAGTTAGATCTTGACAACTGTCACCCCATAAGGATCTCATGACGGTTCTCCGCTTTTCCCTCCACTTGACTGCGATTGGCTCAACGTCTGCCAGTAAACTCTGGGGTTGAGTGGAGATCTGAACTTGGCTTTCTCCAGCTGTGGTCCAACACTCTATGCTAGATGATGTGGCCCAGAAGAGCCAGGGAAACCCAGGTCCGGTCAGTGCCAGGATGAGATTCTAATTGGGAATTCCAACAGCACCTCCCTGGGTTCCACCATGGAGGAAACATACTGAATGAGATTATTTATCTATTACTAACAAAGCTCTTGCTTCCCTAGTGTTGATATTCAAAGAAGGCCAAACAAGAACCCAATGAAGGCGCACAAACAGAACAGAATATGATAAAGAATCTAAGAACAATACAGTAATTTGACTCAGGAAGGTACACTGCAGACGAAGGAAGTTCTTAATTCATTTTGAAGGTGGCCTCTTGATACAGAAATGTCTTAGATCAGGGATGGGCAGAAAATGGGCCTCCAGATGTTTGGGTTATCACTCCCAACATTCCTGACCACTGGGCAAGCTGGCAGGGGGTTCAGGGTGTTGATGTGCAAAACATCTGGAGATCTTCCTTCTGCCCTTCCCAGCTTAGATGGCCACTGATGGTACCAAGAAACTTCCCCTGAGACTATGTTCTAGATGCTGGCCATGACTGAAAATGCTCTGATGCCCACCTGGAACCTTCAACAGCAGAGGAATTCAGAGCATTATCTCCAAGGTGGTCCTCAGTTACTCCGCCAACTTTGCACAGGAGTGGGTGATTCCTGAGAGAAAGAGACGGGGTGTGCCAAACAAAGCACGCTGTTGATTCACGCGGCTGTGCATGGCCTCCAAAAATGATCAGATCACGGGAGAACCAGAACAACCCTGAAGCCTTTCATTCCCTGTGAGGACTATGCTTTCGGGCACCAAAAAGAACACTGAACAAGCGAGGAAGCAGGCGGCTTTGGGTCCGTTAATTTGGCTCTCGCTTCCAAGCCAGTCCAAATTCTGCTGGAGAAAGCTATTTTGTGGAGATGCCAAATTCGACGGGAAAGACGACGGACTCGTGTAGCGACATCCATCAAAACGTCGGCGCTCATGGCAGCTCTTGACAGTGAGGTGGGTTCAAAGGTTGCGGGATGAAGAAACGGGGCGGGGGTAGGGAAACGCGGCACTCTGGCTGGGCTGCGATATGCCCTCGCTGGAAGTCCTGCGGAGGTACCTACCCCCCTTCTGCATTAGGCAGCTCCCATTAATCTTCTTGCCATCTTCCTTAACTAGCCATGCGGAACTGCTCGATAGTAAGACGCATAATGGGGGAGACCCTGAGCCTATTACCAGGTTAACATTCTGTTAAGCCCCGGCACAACAATCGAAAGGAAATCTTAAAAACCCACGAGCCGCGAGGACAGCAATTAAATTACAATCCGGAGCCACCAAAGAATGCGCAGGGCCCATAGAGAAGAGAAGGGCCTCGGGGGGATTGAGGGAACCTGCCGAGCATGGCAGCCTTCACACAACAGCATTAATAAAAAGGAGGATTAAATTGTTTGGGGCAGAAAGAATTGCATTAATAAGCTGATGTTCTTTAAAAAGGAACAATTGGAGGCCAACTGGGAAGAAAATGGCGGGCACGGCTTCTCCTCAACCTCTGTGGAACGCTTGCCCTCCACACACCTCATCGCTGGCCACAATTCCTCCAAGGTCCACAGCTCATGGGCAGCTTTGAAGCCATCCAAGAAAGCAGTTGGAGAGAGCAAGGTGAACAGGAACCAGGTGGGACCCGAGGACAAGTGTTGGGGAAAGGACTATCCTTTTTAGTGTCCTCAAAATTTATCAGCAGCCCAACATTTTTTTTTTCTCTTAAGGGCTGGTATTCTAAAAGACCAGAACCACAAGCAAAGAAAGGGAAGAGGGAAACAAGCAAAGTCAGGCATCAATCCCACAGGTTTCGCAGCTGCCGTTAGCCCAGATCAAAGGGCACCCACCCTGTAAAGTCCTAAAGGACTACCTGTATGGGCAAGGACTACCTGGAGCACATGACCGGAAACAAGACCAGCGCTGAGGCAGATCCTGGCCACAGTTTGCAAAGCTTCTCTCCCATCACAGCTCAGGACAGAGGTCTATGGAACGGAGCAAGTGATTTGTTCTTGCTCTCAATGTATATGCGAACTTGGGGCATCCAACGAAATGGATGGACAGTAGATCCAGGGCGGACGAGGAGGAGGAGAAGTAGCTTTTCACGCTGTGTACAGCATTTTAGGATTTACACAGACACCAGCTTAGATGGTTCGGGGCAATGATAGTCAGAGCACGAGCCATCTGTAGCCCATCATCCCTGCATGGCAGCTGTCTCCTCTCCTCTCCTCTCCTCTCCTCTCCCCTCCACAACACTTACCATTTCCTCCATCGGGGAAAAAAAATTAAAAGGCAAGATCATTGTTTGCCAGAAAAATTCAGCTGCAAACTGCTGTGGAGGCTTAGAATGGCCAAGACGAGCTCGAAAAGAAGCTGAAAAGTCCCTTTCTAGGCTGCCACAGGGACCCTGGGTGTTTGGGTCTGACACACGCCGATTGCCTGCAAGCTAAAGTGGGACATTCCACTTTGTGGAGGGGTCTGGGAGAGTGACAGGCTCTCTGGCTGCCTGAAGTTGCCCACCGCTGACGGAGGGCCCACACGGGAAGTCCAGCAACAGCTCTGAGCCCCACGGGCGACGGAGAAGCTCGAAGTTCAGAAACGAGATGCTGCTGGGTGTGGGCGCAGGAATGGTGAGAAAGAGCCCCCGCCCCCATCCTGCTGGTGGGTTTCCCAGGGACATCTGCGTGGCTGCTGTGGGAAACAGGATGCGGGAGCAGGGAGGCCTCTGGCCCGATCCAGCGCCGGGGCTCTTC